AGGATCTATCTCTCACAATCCCTAGACGCCGCTAGAACCTAAGATGCCAAGCACCAAGAACAACAAATCAGCCACAATTTAGATGCCTTAACCCAAATACAAACTCATACTTAAAAAGTAAATACAAAAATAAAATAAAAGGACTGAATCAATGTTTAAAATTGCGTAATCAGGTATTGAGGCATTTTTCATTTGTGAGGCGAGGCGTAAGCCTCAAAGCGTTTTGAGGCATAAGCCTCAAAATCAAAAAATTGCGTAAACATAAAATGATAAATTTTGTATATACTAATGAGTAAATAATATATAAAACATAAAAATACATAAGATATAAAGTGAAATCAAAATATCCCAATAATATGACAACATGAATATAGTTCAACTCAAACTCCATTTTTCCCAAATCACAATATTCTTTTCATTAACATATAATTCCAAAAATAAGTCGTAATGACATATCACATAAGCACTTATAAGTCATCAGCACTGTCATCACTAAGGGAGTCTTCATTTGAATCATCAGTATGATGAACTGCTCTCTCCCCTTCCTACTCTCCTATAGAGTCCAATGTCTCCCAATCAGGTCCTTCCTCAATATCAGTCATCTTCCTCTTCCCTAAATATTTTTGAACAATATTAAAATAAATAATAGTGTAATACATTAATAAAAGCCTAAGAAAACTTTATTATTTATATACCTTTTTTATTTGTTCTTGAGTTATGATGGATGTATATGCTTTAAGACCATCAAAGAAATCAACATTTAAATCTTATATTGTAATTCAGACGACATCATTTCAACTTCATCATCTACAAACCACTCATCATCAGATGCCACATCCTCGCAAAGCAAAGGATCTTCATCATCCATTAATCTTTTTTTTCTTCAAATTCCTATCTTTGAGTCTCCTATTATACATAATGTACACCAGTGAATTCATCCTCAATGTGAACAAGCAATTTCTCCTTTTTGTATGTACTTGGATGTAGATACTCCAATTTCTTTCACAGCCAGATGAAGAGTATGTCAAGCCCAAAAACTTCATAGCAAAATGCTGTAATTCTGGAGTCCCATCGCCAAATTGAATCCACCACTAAACTAATATTTATATAAGAGAGTTTAATTAGTGCAAAAAAATAACTTTTAAATAAATGTTTAAAACATTAGATAAAATTACTTGGAGATCGTTTGACAATTGTATCAATTGCTTGTTGTAATCCAAAAAAAGCATTCTTTGTTCCTAAAAGGTACAAATTACATGTCAGCATTTGATCTTTCAATTGCATCATTTATTAGCCGATCCATGCAATGATACAGTCCCAACTTTATTTCAGAGTTTGTAGATTTATTCTCTGCATATTAATACTGGGGTTTAATTAATAACCAGCTACATGCAAAGTTTAAAATTACACAATCGGGTATTGAGGCGTTTTTCATTCGTGAGGCGATACGTAAGCCTCAAGGCGTTCTGAGGTATAAGCCTCAAAATCTAATAATTGCGTGAAGATAAAATAAAGGTTAAAAGCTATTTTTATATAATATCAAAGTAATATGTTTAAGAATGACATATTAGCTTTTTATTGAACTATGAAGTAATAAATTGACATACATATGAAAAAAAATTGCACATGAAGTGACAAGTGATAAATTGCATGAAATAGAATTGAAATCCAAGAACAAAATAATATAAAATATAAGAATTGCATAAAAGTATTATATAACATCAAGTTTAACTTTAAATTCTTTTTTTTTTCATTCCTTACTCATTCACATTTAATTCTTAAAGAAATCTGAAATAGTTGGCAACAACTCATAAATTATCTATCCTGTCATCATTAAGGATGTCTTTATTGAGTCATTGTTATAACAAATTTGTTCACCCTGCCTTATCCTATGGAGTCCAATACCTTCCAATATGCTTCTTCATTTATCTCAGTCGTTTTCCTCTTTCATAAATGCTTGTTATTAACATAAAGATGAGAGTAATACTCCAAAAATTTTGGAGGAAGTGGTGGTGTTGGTGTGTGGCTTTCAAGTGATCCTCGATGATAGTTACGATAATGGTGGCTACAGTAAAGGTGATGGTCTTGAGGTTGAATGAACTAAAGGTCTAGTGGTTGTAATGTCATATAAGACACTTTGCCAAAATCTGTCATTTAAAACAATCTTTCTAATCTCTTTTACCTCAGCCTTCTTCGCCCAAGCACAACTCAACTATTGTGTAGATGTGAACATAGCCTCTAAAGGTTGTCTAGCATCCAGCATGCTCTCTAAGGTCAAGTAAGCGGTGGCAAATCTTGTTGTTGCTGGCCTTAGAATTTCTTTCTTTGAAAATTTTCTCATAAGAGCTAGAACTTAAGAGTGATTGTAAATAAACTTGGTTATTTTTTTTATTTTAGTAAGTGCATTCTTATGTTGAGGTAGCTCGCCAAGCTTCTTAAGAATTATATCTATAAAATGTGCAGCACATGGAGTCCAATACAGATGTTTCCTCTTCTCCATAAGTTTGTTACCTGCAACCTTGTAAGCACTTGCATTATCTGTCACAACTTGTACAACCAAATGTTCTCCAACCTCCTCAACAATGCTATCTAATAATCCAAATATGAACTCAGCATCTTTGACTTGGTCAGATGCTTTAACTGATCTTAAAAACATAGTACCATAAGGATTATTAATGAGAATGTTGATTAGACTTCTATGTTTAATATCAGACCACCCATCTGACATAATTGTTACTCATGTTTGGGCCCAAGTCCTCTTAATTCTTCAATGCTTTTATCAATGCTTTCCAATTCCTTCAGAATTCATGTTCTCAAATCATACATGGTTGGAAGTTTAAACCCTCTCCCAAAAGCTCCAACTGAACGAATCATGTTGTAATAGGCAGGTGATGTTGCAACATTAAATGGAATTGCATTTTCGTAGAAGAATCTACCTATATCCTTACACACTCTTCTTCGTGCCTCCCTTGCATTTTCTGGGGCCATCTTATGTGTAGTAGGAGGCATATCTTCTAATGTGTCCACCATATAATGATCTATAGGCCCTCTAGATGAAATGAGCTTAATCAAAGAAGATGAATCCCTAATGCTGCTCTCACTCCATAGTAAGAGCCAACATCAACTCTATCCTCAAATTGCTTCTGTGAAAGATGTTTTTACATGGTAGACTTATTCATGTATGACTTTATCTTCTCCCTTCAGTATCAGGAACTTTAGAGCATGGAGCAACATTGTTGTGAGACTTTGAAAGGTGATCTTTCATCCTAGTTACACCACTCTTCACAACTTTATTATAGTAATTGCATTTTAGATAGATATATGTTTTATCACTTCCCCCTACATCCACCTGAGTGCTATATTTCCATGTTGGATCTTTTCTATATGACCTGACGCAATTTAATCCTTACTTCTGACCATCATTTATGAGAAGAATATATTAGTGCAATATATCAAACCCCTAAACATATTGCTTCACTTATTCTATATTAAGAAAACTTATATAAGCAGCACTCATGAAGAAGCAGACTAACACTAACAACTACTACTAAAGATGATGAATACAACAATATATCGGTCTGCCGGGGGTCCAAGGGGGCGCTGCCCCCTGGTGGAGTTCGACCTGCCCGGTCAGGTCGCAGGGTCAAGGGGCAACGTAAGTTCATAAGTTTATTGTAAGAGTAATTTTGAAGTTCTGTTTGTTTTTAAAGTTCGTAAGTTGTTTATATGGAAAGATACCGAGCGGTACCGAGCATGTACCGCTCGGTACCGAGCATCTACCTAGTGGTGGTACCAAACATTGTTATACCGAGTACTATCGAGCATATACCTAGCGGTCTTAATGTTGAAGGAAGCGGACGCCGAACAAAGAGGGAAAAAGGTCGCGGTAGAAGATAACTCCAACCCAACTCGCGGTAGAAGATAACTCCAAGCAATAAGCGAAGAGCAACTCAATGTGGAAGGAAGCCGATGCCGAACGAAGAGGGAAAAAGGTCGCTGGAAGAAGAAGGGAGAAAACCTGTTCTCGGGAAATGACGGAGGACTGCGCGGGGGTTGGGGTGTCCGAACCGAACAAATATATATTAGGTTAGCTTTTTTTTAAAAATTTTAGAGGTGGATACATCTCAACCGTGAGGCGAGGCAAGCCTTGAGTTGCGCCTCAGTAAACTTGAGGCGTACGCCTTAAATCCTGAACTCATTGCGTAGGCTTTGAGGCTTAAAGGTGCGAAATTGCGCTGAGGCGCGCCTCTTATTGCACAATTTTAAACCATGGACTGAATAGCCCTCAAACAATTAGTCCTAGGTAGTGGACCCGACCCCAAAGGGCCAAAATTTGGAGCCTGCGGACCAGCAGGAGCCGGCCCATAAGTTGGGCTAGCTAGATCGGTCATATTGCTCCCTAATCAATGGAGATTTTCACTAAAAACCTGAGACCAATTTATCCTTTAAAAGTTGCGTCAGGTGTGCCTCTCCCTATGAATCTTTCAGCTTCAACATATACGGCTCTTACAATTGATGTTGATATTGATCCTTCTTTTTTGGAAGTTCCTCTCTCCTATTGCTAAAGACACAAAAGTTTGTGATGCATTGCATCTTCCTAGTTTTGGTCTAAGTGACAACATGCTGGTGGACCAGAGCTTTCATATCTTCTTAACCAAACGGGGCTTTAATAAGAAAACCATTATCGCTCTCCATTTTTTTCAACAAGCTTCAAGCTAGGTTGCCAATTTAGCTTGTACTCTATGATATATTTGTTTTGACATTTGTATTTTTCTTTGTTAATTGTCTTTCTATACTCTTATCATTTTCTTGTTATTAAAATGGTAATACTTTTATATGGTATAAAAAAGTTCAGAAGTTGAGGAAGAAGTGCTCACTTGGACGCAGTTCCATTATAGTTTTCTTTAGCTGATGCTGTTCTACTGCTTCTCCTGTAGCACTTCTCTTGTTACAGGGCATTGTCAACAACTGCTATCATTTTAGTATTGTTCTTTTAACAGGATGAAGAGGATGTCAAGGCGATTGCTCGCTTATTTGCTGATATGGGGGATTCCTATGTTGAGTTGATTGCGAGTGGTATAAATGAGATATGAAGTGTTGCTAATATTTTGCATGTCGAAGAACATCAATTTCGGTTGCACTGTTCTTCTGTAATTAAATGATGATTGTGAAACTGATTTTGTTTGTTTCAGGTTCTGAGGAATCAATGCTAATAGTGCATGCTTTACTTGAAGTTGCTTCACACCCTGATTATGACATTTCTTCGATGACATATAATTTCTGGCATCATTTGCAGTTGAAATTAACTCGAAGGTAACTCTCACACTGCTAACTACTTTGTGATCATGACAATTAATGTTAAATTTATTGCATCACAGGGATTCATATTCATCATATGAATCTGATGCTTTAATTGAGGAAGAGAGGAAGAGGAGGCTATGCATTTTTCATTTACCATTTCAAATGCTGGTATCTTTGGTGAGTTTGTTTTCTTAATAATTTTTGGATTTAATCATGACATAATCAATCATAAAATAAGTCTACTGCTGCTTATTTCAAGTGGACAACAACACTATTGATTTTTTTTTTTGGTTAGGTTAATTCCCGCGTTGAATATCCTCAAGACTATGATGATCAATCTGAGGAGGACCAGAAGGATTTCAAGCACATCAGATATGGTACTCCTGAAATAAAATCTTCTATCTTATTAGGAAAAATATTGAAAAAAAAAATGTTTCAGAGGTTTCGGTTGGAGCTGCATGTGGGATATTTTGTTTGGGAAGGATGGCAATTGAGGAATGTTTAAGTGCATTTTTTAGATGTGCAGTCAGATTGGTTTCAAATTGCATAGCATTACTCTATGTAAAAAGATGAAGTTTTCTTATTTTTCGTGAAATGCTTTCTATGACTATTACTAACACTTGTAGTCCTTGTTTCATATTGATATACAACAACAACAACATCAAGCCTTTATCCAACTACGCGGGGTCGGCTACATGAATCCTTTTTCTCTATTGTGTCCTATTAAAAGTCAAATCCTCGTTTAAATCTAATAAAGAAAGGTCATTCCTAATATTTTCTAACCAAGTCTTTTTAGGTCTACCCCTACATTTCTTAACACAAGTCTAATCTAATACCTCTACTCTCCTAACCGGGTCATCGGAAGGCCGCCTTTTTATGTGTCGAAACCATCTAAGGCGACTCTCTCTAATCTTATCTTCTACTGGAGCTACTCCAACCTTTTCACGTATATGCTCATTTCGAATCCTATCTCTAAGGGTAAAGCCACTCATCCACCTAAGCATCCTCATCTCTGCCACACCTTTTCATATTGTTATACGAACAACTAAAAAATACCGTTCATTTATGTATAATGGGTTGAAAAGATTTTCATCCATGCCACGCTTGCCTAAACCATCCAGAAGCGCACACACATGTATGTACTTGCATGTTCCTGATGTAGCATGCATTCATGCATTTTCCTGCAGAGTACTTCTTTGCTGTTCGGTCAAATTTATTTACACTTCCACCTTTTAGTGTAAGAAGGGGGAACTAGAAATTGCAAATGAGCTTCCTTTGCAATCGATAAAAAGAGCCCTCAGACCCTTACACAAATAAGAAACATAAACCTAAATGGATGTGCTTACCAGCATGCTAAAACATGCATATTTAATGTCTGTATCCTGTGATTACAGAAAGTGTTCCTCTTTTGATGATTAGCTAACTGAGAAGTACTTGAAATTTCTGAGCACTTTAAGTTCTCTTTCTTCCAGCTGTTGGAGATGTTTTGATTGATGCTTCAGATGTTTTGGGAGGAGAAGCCACACTAAAAATTCTCTTTATGAAGCTAGTACAGGTACGCTCAACGTCTTAACCATTTTTTTTTTGGCATGGAAGCCATTTCTTTTAATCTTCCAGTTAGAGTTTCAGTTATCTACCAGCTAAAGTTTGTTTTTTTTGTCTGTTCCAGTGCCATTTTCCACAATTATAACTTTTAAATATTTCTACATCTAAAGCCTCTGAATGTTAATTTTGCTTGGGCAAGGATGTTGATAATGGGCATAATGACTTTTTTTACTGTTGTTAAAAGCAATATCATTCTTTCGATACTCCTAGAGGTTTTTTTATCAACTGTTTTACATGCGTTCTGTTGCGTCTCCATGATACAGTTGGATTGTTATTGCATACTGTTAGAATTCATAGAATTTGAGAGGGTAAAAATACCTTCTACTTATTATACAAAATTATCCATATTTATAGATCTATACAAGATGTCTTAATAAAGAAATAAATAACTTCTAATTGATACATAATTGCCTCAATATAATCCTTCCTAATTCAACTACCCAAATATAGAAGGATATTGGAGTGATCCAGGTGAGCCTCCTATAAATTCTCATCCTGACCGTGGGATCAAATGCCAAGGGATGGCTGAGATTTTGACACTCCCCCTCAAGTTGGAGATTACTCGCTCAGAGTTAGAGTTGCATTGGTTATAGATAGGATATCAACCACCAGAGAAAGCTGGCAATGAAGGCCGATGATGGAAAACTATCCTCAAAATTCCGACATTTAAGGCCGGTTGTGGAAACTTGTATTCCTCAGAATTTCAGCAATAAAGGCTGGTAGTGGGAACCTGTATTTCTCATAATTCCAGCAATGAAGGCCGGTAGTGGTAACCTGTATTTCTCAGAATTCCAGCAATGAAGGCCGGTGTTGGGAACTTTGTATTCCTCAGAAATTCAGCAATGAAGGCTTCTCGGAGAAAATTTTCCTTGTCGACAATAAAGGTCAATGATAAAGATTTTCTCTCCTTTTTTTCACTAAAAAAGATTTTTTTTCTTTCCTGGTTTAATAAACCAAACCAGCCGAGCCTTAAAAAAAAAGGCTTGGATCGGGACTAGGGCACGGGACCGGGCTTCTCAATGGAGTCTCGTTCAGCTTCGTTGCTTCACGGTCTCTTCTTCGACTTGTTCTTGGTTGTTCGACTATCAACCTTCGACATCTCTCCTGTTCGGCTTCAAGTGCTTCATAGGAGGTGCTTCTTCGACTCCTTTCCTGTTGTTCGTCTACGCTCCTTCGACGACTTCTCCCTTCTGTCGGATCGGAAGTTCCAATGCTTGGATCGGCTCCGTCGTTTCCTTCCTCCTGCTTTGTCTTGTACGCGTACGTAGAGGTTTGCTCGGCCCGTCCCGTGGGTTTTGCTCGGCCCGTCCCGTGGGTTTTGCTCGGCTTCGTCCCGCTAGTAGGAGGTTTGCTCGGCTTTGGTCCTTCCTGCACGCAGGTTGTTTTTGATCCTTCCGGCTTTGTCCCGATGGTTTCTTTGTCGTGGCTCTGATACCATGTTAGAATTCATATAATTTGAGAAGGGTAAAAATACCTTCTATTTATTATACAACATTATCCATATTTATAGATCTATACAAGATGTCTTAATAAAGAAATAAATAGCTTCTAATTGATACATAATTGCCTCAATATAATCCTTCCTAATTCAGATACTCAAATATAAAAGGATATTGGCGTGATCCAGGTGAGCCTCCCACGGATTCTCATCCTGACCGTGGGATCAAATTCAAGGGATGACTGAGATTTTGACACATACAATAATGGTTTTATCCCTGGCAGAAGATAGCATTTGATATGTTTAATCTTATTGAAAGTACCTACTTTGTTTGGGAATGGTTCAGGTATTTTGCATTTTAAAAACCTTTTAAATCACACGCTTCTCCTTCATGTTCTTTCATTCTTAGGTGACTCACTTGGGTGCAATTCACTCTCTTTTGAAGTAGAACATTAGTGTTTACAAAACTGCACGGAACAACTTCATTAATTTGTACTTCAGAATTATGGCGTATCAAAATTTTGCTTTGTGTATGAAACACAAATTATTGCCCAATAATGAGCACACTACCTCCATGGCTACATAATCATCTGCAACACCTTTTTGCGTAGCAGCACGTTTATTTCTGTGAGTAATGATGCTTTATCTTACATGGCACACGTATCTCTTATTATTTTTATATAAAGCCATTGCAAACAAGATGCAATGATTATTGTTGTCTTTGGTAAGTACCTCATACTCTTCCAATATACAAATGTGAGATGCAGTGATGCAAGTATGAACTTATTAGTGCTTTACAATTTTTTCTTCTCCGGTGTTCTGTATTTCTCTTATTTCTTTCATAGACATTTAATATTGTGTTATTATTTCTTGCTGCTCAAGGTTTATCTTGTAGGTTTCATGCATTCTCTTTTGTATTGTTTTTCCAAGCCAGTGACTCATGATTTATTGTCTTCATGATGTCTTTTTTGGAATATCCTGTTCTCCAAATGTGATGTCATTGATGATGCTCAAATTATGGTTTAATATTTGTTAATAGTGCGATATGATTCGAGGTATTGTATGCCATATGGCTGTAGGATCGCAATATCTTTCGTGTGCAGACATCTATGATCTGTTGGCATGAGCTAAGCTGTTTAGCAATTACCGGTTTGATATCCTAGCAGTGTTAGGATGATGTTTGTTCTCTTTTAACCTGCCTGACTCCTTTTGTCATTTCTTAGATGCTATTCTCAAATAATGCAAATTTGGATTTGTTTAGATAGAGGTGGCTTGGACTCAACTTATCCGATGAAATATTAGTTATCAAGATTTTTAACTCCAAAAAATGGGTCTCTTCTTTGTTCAACCATACAAACACTCAAACTGATTCAGTATCCATAGTTTGCATAAAAATTATGAACCACGTTCACAATTTTTCATGTACCTATATAATTTCTGCAATATGTTATTTGTATATTATAATAGTTTTTTTTTTATATTATGAGTCTAAAATGCTGAGGCTAATTTTTCTGATATAAGCATAATGATGATGGTGTGGTTTGGAAACTAAAAAGGCTGAGGCTAGGATTAGAGGCCCTGATTGCTGGTAAGTGGTAACTGAAGCAGATCCGAATCTTTGGTATTTCAATCTAGCTATCAAAACTTTGAATAAAAAAAATTATGTGGATTCTTGGATCTGGTAAAAAGATGATCTATTCCAATGTGAAATTCATGAAACTATTCCTCAACTACAGTGATTTCTTCCATTTCCTGATCTAAATGCCTAGCTCACAGTCAACGGTGATGTCCTTTGTTACAAAAATATCCCATTAACTCATGTAAATGATTCTAACGAAATGAACCTTAAAAAGTTACAAAATATAATCAAATATAAGTCTCTCGACATGCAACACTGAACTTATTGCACTTTTAATCCTTCATTGACACAACTGCTTTTTCTGTTCGCTGCATTTTTTTTCTGTTTCTCAAGCTTTTTCATTTATGTTGATATATGTTTTAATGGATGGTAAGAAATTGGCTGAAGTAAGTGAAAAGTTGAATAACGGAGAAAGTATCTAGATAAAGGCTTTGCATTAGTAGAATATAGACGGGATTTATGAAAATTTAGTCGTGATATTGCAATTGTCAACTAATATTATTAAAGGATAAAGTAATGCGAAGTTTAATTTGTTTAAGTTTCTTGGTTTTATTTAATAGAATGAAATGTTTTGGCTTGCAGATGTAAGAAAATATTAGGGAGATGTGAATATAAATGTATAGAATTACTATTAAGTCGGATATGTTATACGGATTTAGTGTTGTTAATTATGATGTCCCAAATAGCTATGTTGAATTTGACCTAAATAACAATGTTAAAATGGAATTGTGCAAAACATAGATACATGATAAATGATTATATTAGAGGAATGAAGTGAGTAGCATTTGTTGTAGATAAAATAATGATCAATATACTTAAATAGTTGAACTTGTACAACAAAGGGTAAATGATGCACCAATCAACAGACCATGTGATAGAATTAATGTTGAAGAATTAGGTCAGAAAAGAGCCATCCACAGGGAGCATGAATAGAAGTAGTGAAGGGATTTGTACAAAACATGATTAACACTTCAACCAATCTTCAATATGAATGAATGGAGGATGAGTATTCATAATTGATAAGGACATCTGACCGTGAAAGTTTAATAGAGGAGGAGCCGAAGATCAACAACCATGATTGTATCACTTTATTTTGAGTTATTATTTTTATTTTGATTTATTTATGCATTTTTCTGTTTTTACCCTCACTTGAGAGAGTAGACCTATGTGACCCCAGGGGGCACTTTTATCATTTGTCTTATTATTGTATTTTGGCTATTTATAGCCCCCCTCATCTTTTTTTGAGGTAATGGATGATTATTAAGAAACAAATTCAGCACTTTTATTCTTGAGAGCTTTGAGAGTTCTTATGAGAGGTGAAGTCCCTAGGTGAGGGCAACGTATTACTCACTAGCCACAGGAAGCGTCCGGGCTCGTGGTTTGAAGTCACTAGGTGAGGGCAAAGTATTACCCATCAGCCGCAGGAAGCATTTGGGCTTGTGGTTTATCTTCTCCATTGACTCCCTCCCTTTCTCCAAGCCGTTGGCCCCCATCTCCACCATCGTCACTCCTTTCTCCTAGCTGTCGGCCACCCTCTCTCTTCCTCCTAATTGCCGGCCCAACATCCGCCTCTCCTCCTTCCTAGCCGCTGGCGCTAACCCTAATCCCCTCCTAGCCACCGACCACATCTCCCCTCCTTTGCCTCCAAAATTTTCAATATTACTACTTTCCTAAAATTGATCATGATGAATTTGGAAGGATATTAATTCAATCTTGAATTAATTTCAAATTTGAATTCTTTCCTAATTTAACATGAGTTATATTTGAAAAGTTTCTCAATCAAATCATTTTGAATTTGAATTCAAATTAAAAGGGATATGGACATTAAATCTCTTTTAATTAAATTGGCTTTGCTTGGAAACTTTATGAAATCCTTTCTAACTCCTCCCTTCCTCCTTTAGTTGCCGGCCCTACCTCTCACCTTTCTAAATCCTATTTCTATCAAGGCTCCTAATTACATTTCCAATCAATGTCCATTAAAGAATTTCAAATTCCTAATTGATTACTTTCCATATGTGACGTATCTTAAATAAGGAAGGTTTTAATTTCAGATTTTAATTCAATTCGAATTTAAAATTCTTTCCTAAAATAAGAGAAGTTATATTAGAGAAGTCCCTCCAATCAAGGCCAACTAAATTCAAATTTAATTTAGAGAGTCAATTGCATTAAAGCCTCTTTCTCCATTTAGATTGGCTTTGATTGGCAATCTATCTCAATCCCTTAATTCCCTCCCACATCCCCTCCTCACTCCCATAACCGCCGACCCTCTCTCTCCCTCTCTTTCCCTTTTTGCTTCCTCAAATTAATTCTCTCCTCAATCAATTCCTCCCAAATTAATTTCAGATTTTCTATTTGCTGGAATTAATTTTAGATTTCTAATTTTTAATCATTGCTTGCTTTTCATTCTACAGCAATAATGCTGCCCACAAATAGTCAAGATAAGGCTAATGATGATGGTGATGATTGATTGATCTTGATGTCGCTGTCGTCATGTGACTAGAAGACACTATGGTGTGGAGGTGATAAATGGGCATAAAGTACGTAGAGTTGTTTTTCAGTTGTAAGATTTCATCAATGTGCAAACAATCACCAGTCTCTGGTGTTAAGAAAATTGTAGTATACGCTAGTACACTCTCCCATGCATGCTTTTTTACCATTCTTGCATTCTATTACTTTTTTGGTACTAATATTAACATTTGTTTTGTAGTTTTTTTTTTCAACCCTGTTAGCATTTTACAAGTTTTTTTTGTAAACTTAATTGGTGGCTAGAGCAAACTTAGTCAACTAAGTTGATTTATGGTTAATCATGAAATAATGACTTATTGTTATTCACGGAATTGATGATTTTATGAAATGCAACTTATTAAAGGCAATGGTGATAGCTTGTTTCTTTAAAATTATCAGATGACGTTGTGATTGACACTACCTCGTTCTTCTTTAACAGAGTATATTCTACTGGTTCTTGATCACAGGCAGTTGGAAATTGCAGTAATGATGAAAACTACAAATGGCAACCTGTAGAAGCAGCACTATACTGTATCCAAGCTATATCGAAGTCCATTTCACTACAGGAAGTGGAAATATTACCCCAGGTGTATTACGTGTATTTATGAAAGGCATCGTTACAATAATCTGATTTTGTAAAATTTTGGGTAGCAAGACCCCTTTTTTTCAAGTAGTCTGGTTGCATGGCATGATGATTTCAAAATTTCAACTTCTAAATTAGGCTGAATATCTTTACTTTTGTGACCATTTAAAGGTTGAAGCCATAACCCAATCTACTTATGCGTCCAAATCTCTTATTTTCTCTTCCTTATACTTTTGCCTGTCTACTTGCCTTTGACTCGTGTAACAATACTAAAGTAGAGGCTGACTCAGCTTGATTAATCTTATTACTGCTAATTTGCAACACACTTAATTTACAAGCATAGAACAATGACACCTAATCTTAATGAAATTTTTATATCTTTCATTTGAAGCTTCTTGTTTTAAATCTGGAAATCGAAATAATTTTTTTCTTGTTTTTAAATATAGTTGCCTAGAAACACATTATCGTGCAGTCTGATTTTATGACAGTAATTTAACTCCAATTTTTGGCTATGCTAGGCACGGTTTTTCATCCTATTAATAAAAGGATACTGATCTGTAAACCTATCTCTAGGATCCTGTAAAAGAAACATATTGGATGCACTAACATCATGAGTTGCTTTAGAGAACTAAGAACCATCTTGACATAGCAGCCGCAGGCCCCCATCTCCACCATTTTGCATTGTCTAGCATGCTGAAATTTTATGGTCAACAGAATGAGGTTTCATTCTTCTATAAAAGAGAACTATTGTTCAAGTGCTTATTAGCTTAGTTGCTGTTCTACGAAATCTCAGGTTATGGCATTACTGGCAAAACTCCCCCACCAACCTCAATTACTTCAAACTGGTACTTTTTTCTGCAATGGGGATTCCCTGGTTTCAAATTTTTTTATATAATTTAATTGAAAATATAACTTATCATCTTTTTTATTCCCTGTTGGTTGATGCTTAACAGTTTGTTCTACAATTGGAGCCTATTCAAAATGGATAAATTCTGCTCCAGTTGAACATCCAATCCTACCTCCTCTAGTTGATATTCTTACTAAAGGCATGAGCACTTCAGAAGAGTCTGCAGCCGCTGCCACTCTTGCATTCAAATTCATCTGTGAAGGTATATTAGAATTATATTCCCACTTTTTTTTCAGTTTTGTTTAGCCCATGTGCAAATTATGAAAACCTTAAAACGTAGTAATAACAACAATATTCATGCTTATGATCCAAATTGTTGGGTCATCTTTGTTTGCATCACTCATTCTGTAGCAAAGCTAAATTCATTCAAAATGTTTTTTTTTTTAATTCTATTTGTTTCCTTCTATAAATTAATTAACAAGTGGAAGGAAAGTCAGATGAATTACTATGACTGCAGGAATGGAAATTTTTTTTATTGTATTTATGAAATTTAATTTTATGTTATACATTCATGTCAGACTCCTCTCTCTCAAAAACTTCTTTCCATTTTTTTCAATTCTTTTGTGTCTACAATCAACTAACTTTTATTTTTAAATATTATTGAAACAATATTTTTCTCGCTAGCTACCTTTTATAGTGTGCAGTTGTCTTTTAGCATACATTCTGTGCAACGTGATTGGCATCATTTGTACTGAGCATGTTGATGAATTCGTAACAATACTAGGAAATGAGAAAGATGGGGGTAGATGGGGCAATGAAATGTTCCGGTTGTCCAAACGGTGGTGTAGGTGAAAGTGAAACTACTCGTGCTGCTGTAAAAAATTATTGTATGAAATGATCATTAGAAGAATGAGTATAACACATTCTCGTATGTACTTTCTGTATGGTTGTCTTAATTGTTGATGGGGATGGATTTTTTTTTAAGTTTATCTTTTTATTGCGAGCTGTGTAAAGTTGTGCTTATATGTAGATTGCAGAAAGCAGTTTTCGGGATCATTGGATGGTCTTTTCCATATCTACCATATAGCAATTAGTGGTGAAGGTGGCTATAAAGTATCAGCTGACGACTCAATGTACTTGGTTGAAGCCTTAAGGTAATTGACCTTTTCAATATCCCAGATGCATTTCGATTTTTTCCATTGACTTATTTGTTGTACTGTTTGTTTTTTATATGGTACTGTGGCAATTATAATCTATATTTAACCTGTGTTTTGAATTTGCTTTGTTAGTGTGGTTATAACGGAACTCCCAACAGAGCATGCCAAGAAGGCATTGGAGCTGCTTTGTCTTCCAACTGTTACTCCACTTCAAGTTAGATTTATCTATATGATATTTTATACTTGCGCCCCCAAAAAGATTGGGGGTACCATCTAATCAAGTTTGACATAAACATTTTTTTGATTGAACAAACAGGAAATGATTGGTCAAGGAGGTGCCTTTCAACAAATACCAGCAAGGCAGTTTACTTTTCATATTGACCGATTAGCTTGCATTTTCAGGTAATAAATTGTGTATTTATCAGATCTGTTCATTGGTGTTGTTTTAAATGAAGCTCTCTATTAATTTACTGGGCAAATTTTCAGGAATGTTAAACTACCTGAAGTCGTGGCAGGTGCTGTGCAAAGGCTTTGGCCGCTTTTCAAAACTATATTTGATCAGTAAGAACCAAAAGCTGGTTTCCTTCTTCAAGTATATATGTGCAATTTTCTCGTTATTATGACCTTTGTTTAATTAACATGTGATCTTTTGTAGCCGTGCTTGGGACACGAGGACAATGGAGTCCTTATGTCGTGCCTGTAAATATGCTGTAAGTATCTATAAAATTGGTTACTGATTAATCCTAAGCTATGCAAGGAACTGGTTTATATTATTACATCTTTTGAATTTATATGATACTTTCTTGTTAGAGCCCATCAATTGCAGCGTAATGTATATATATGGCCTTCAAGCACGATTAGACTCTTTAGTTGCAGTCTTTTCATTGATGTCGATAAGTAATTTATGTTCTAGAATTTTCTTAAGATGTTAATATTCATCCAATATATGGTAAAGAGAATGTTGAAAAGTTATCAACTGTGGAGCTAATGTTTTCGAGAGTCAAATCTCGTTGGGTCTCAAGCTTTTTTTTTTTAATGCTAAATGTTTTGTTCAATTTGATTAAGCAAGACAAAATATTTAACTTTTATCAGGAAACTTACTGAAAGAAAGTTATGGTCTGAATTATTCTTCAAACCAGAGATGCAACCAATTGTTGCTGGCTGAATGTAGAAATTAGGTGGATGCACTTAATGTTGAAAAGCAGGTGGAAAATAATTCAATTCGTTTATTCCAATAGGTAGGTTTATAGATATTTTAGGAGATACAATTTCCAATTAAAGGAACTAGAATAGGAAGCAAAATAACAAACGTAAACAGGCCATAGTCGGCCAACAAAGAGAAAAAGAAGAATGGTGTTAAGATACAGAGATAAACAAAATCTAGGAATGAATAAAGGAGTTACGATTCAAAACTTAGGCAACACATTATAGGCAAGAGCACACCCAAACTTTAACAATATCAGAACACCTCTAATAATCATAACCTTACATATAAGAATCCAGCATACTAATAATAACAACTGCACTCACAATTCTTCTAAAACCATATGTATGAGAGCTATAATAAAAGAAAATTAGATAGGAAAAGGGACTTTGATGCAAGCAAAAAATTAGGAAAAGCCCAATTTTTTTGCAAGCAAAAACTAACTCTTCCTTGGAAATAAAAATTACACAAAATTCCAAAAAAAAAGATAAATTAGACAAATTACAACTTTTATAAAATAAAAATGACTCTTACAACTCTTGACGCTTACAAACAAAAACATAAACTCCTAAAGCTGCATTTCCTTGCTTGAGAAGAAGGATACAAGTGGCGTCGAATTTGTGGAGAGAAGAAAGAGGTAAGAAGTCCAAGACGAAGATAGGAGAAGCTCGAAAGTCTTCCCAAGAAGTAGAAAAAGAAGAAGAAGTGGAACAAGCTCTTAAGCTTTTCCAAAAAAACCCTCATGTTTTCATGTCCAAAAATCAGCCATATATCATCCTCTCTTTGAATACAAAATACCTAATATTTATAAAAGAAAAAGGGGAGCCAAACAGCCACATAAAACCCCCATTTAAACCAATTAGGAAAGGGGAAGAGGAAGACCAGCCGTCAACACAAAACAAATCCCAAAAACAGCACAAGAATCGGGTAGGAGAAGCCACAGGAACATAGCCAGGGAGGGACCCGAAGAACCAACACAGAAACCAGGTAGGAGAAGCCACGAGAACACAGCCAGGGAGGGATCCGAAAAGCCAACACAGAAACCGGGAAGGAGAAGCCACGAGAAAGTAGCCAGGGAACAAACCGAAGAGACTCAGGGAAGGGGAAAGGAAAATGGGCAATAATTCCACTCCAATAATGAGCTATCCAGTAAAAAACTTTTCATAATAATGAGCTAAAGCTTTAGCTCAAGCATTTATGAGCTAAAACCAAGAAGTTCCCAAAGAACGCAACTCAAAACCAAAGCATCCAAGGCCCAACCTGAGAGCAACAGCAGCCCAAAAGACTAAAAGAACCCAAGCAAATAGCACATCCAAAGCTTGCGAAGTCCAAGAAACAATGGAGATGTTTTGACACCCCCCATGCCTACATCAGACTTTCTGGCTTGGGATTCTAGAATACATGCAAAAAAAGAGCGGTGATGGATGTTGTCTTTGAGAGAAAGAGATGTGGCTCAGGAGGGAGAGAGAGAGCTATGTAGGCAACTAGAGACATTTGAGATAAGAAATATATAAGAGAGGCTCTGCGACTATGAGAGGAGGAGACAAGAGAGCGAGTGGTAGAGCATAAACAAAATGGGCGAAAGAGTTATTATGGCATTTTCTATTTATGAATTGCTAATCATTATAATCCAAGGTGGCTAGTTAATCACTATCGATGGAGTAAATCCAATGATCAGGCATACATCCGCACTCCTTGTGACTTCACATCCTTCCTTATAGACTTAGAGCTATAGATTTAGAGAAAGACAACAACAAAAACATCAAACCTTTATCCCACCATGTGGGGTCGGCTAAATGAATCTTTTTTCTCCATTTTGCTTTGTTAAGAGTCAAATTCTCATTTAAATCTAATAAAGAAAGGTTATTTCTAATATTTTCTAATCAAGTCTTTTTAGGCCTACCTCAATCTTTTCTAACATAAGTCCAACTTAATACATCTACTTTCCTAACCGGGTTATCGGAAGGCTGCCATTTTATGTGATCAAACCATCTAAGGCGACTCTCTCTAATCTTATCTTCCACTGGAGCTACTCCAATCTTTTCATGTGTATGCTCATTTTGTATCCTTGTCTCTAAGAGTAAACCTACTCATCCAACTGAGCAAGCTTTGGAATTGGTATTTACTTCTTCATCAATTAGTTTATTTCATGGTTGCATAACTGCTATGAAACATAGTATGAAGCTGTGTTTTCTGCCAATGGGAGCTGAAGCTCAAGTTGTAAAACTTGTTAATTGTAAGAACAAGTGCAAAATGTTGATAAACTTTTGTTGTGAGGGTTTATTGGTGATTGTAGTTGATGGAGTTTGATTTAAGCTGATGCTTGTATTTTATTCATGCATGTGAGCTAACCTTTCTATGTTGTTTCTTGTGATCGTTAAATCACATGATCTATAGCACGTTCCATTGGATTATGTTCCCCTTCCTATCTTTGAAATTTTCAACTATATTTATGAGGATCATATGTGGCTTGATTTGTAAACATAAAAATGTGGCAATTCCATGTTTCTTGTTGCAAAAAGGAAATTCAGCTCTGTTTTCAGATTAATGTACATTATTTTTAGATGCCCGGTTAGGAAGGTTAAGGCATTAGATTTGACTTATGTTAAGAAAGGTAGAGGTAGACCTAAAACGACTTGTTTAGAAAAATGTTCTTTCTTTATTAAATTTAAATGAGAATTTGACTTTTAACAATACACAATGGTGAAAAATGATTCATGTAGCATGCCCTATTTAGTGGGACAAAGGCTTGATGTTGTTGTTGTTGTGTATTGTTAGATGCCTCTAATAATCTCTAGTTTTTGAAAGGTATCCTAGTTTGATGGCTGAATCCTATGGTTTCCATTGGTCTAATCAATCACAGTTTGGATTTATAAAACTTGTTCCAGGCTATTAAGTTGCTTATTCATAAGAACGAGAGGTGAGACCTTAAAGCATATGGTTCAAACTTAGTCCCTTCTAGTTTTTTAATGTAGTACCTTTTGTTGGAGATGATAAGTTTCAGCTAGAAACTTTTTATTCTTTGTTTTCCTGGTATCATTTATGCTGTGGTGGCTAACCATGAATCCATTTTGTTTTCCTAATTAATTGACTTCTCTTGTGCGTTTCTCCATGCATGGAAATGAGCAAGTTCTGTGTGTTGACAAATACTGCTGGTTTTTTATTCACTTTTTCTGTGGTTCAATGGACATGGAAAAACCTCTATGTTGCACATGGTAGCTTTATTTGAAACTTCGTTATTTTACCCTGAAAGTTTTTCCTATCTTATAGGTAAGAACATCTGGAAAATTTATGGGCATCACAATTGGTGCAATTCTAGAAACAATCCAGGCATTGTATCAGCAACACAACCAATCTTGCTTTCTTTATCTATCAAGTGAAGTTATAAAAGTAGGTTTTCTTAGCTGTGATTAAAATGTTATACTTTAGAGCTGCTTTTTCCTTTGCTTGACCATTTTGCACTACCAGATATTTGGATCTGATCCATCTTGTGCAAGCTACCTCCAGAGCTTAATAGAAATGCTTTTCAGTCATACAACAAAACTTCTTTTGACAATTCAAGTAATAATTATAACTTACTGTTTCCTTCACTCCAAGGTAATCTGTACTTTTTAGTTCTACACTTATTTCTATGTCTTGAATGCAGGATTTCACGGCTAGACCTGATATAGCAGATGATTGTTATCTATTGGCATCAAGATGTATTCGATACTGTCCTGATTTATTTGTTCCTTCCTCTGTTTTTCCTTCATTAGTTGACTGTGCGATGATTGGTGCAACCATACAACACAGGTAAAATATGATCCCTTGCTTCTTCTGTCTGTTAAGACTGGCTAACATAGGTTAACTGTATTCTCCATTCTGGTAGTCTGCTTTTGTATTAAAATGTTTGACAAATAATTTTACCTGAATCCAGATGCAATTTTAAAGATTCAAGATCAATTTGACGGTTTTTTGTTCATGTTCTAAAATTTTATGTTGCTCAGAATTTTTTCATCTGTTTACTTGTTGATGTTGGAGTGTTTCAGTTTTTACAATCAATTTCTTAGGTCGTCGGCATCCACCCCTTCAACAAGCCCGCCAAAGCTAGAAGCATAGGGCCGAAGGTACAAAAATCTTCTGACAAGTCAACAAAGACAAATCAGGCGATTCTCCATTAATGTCCGCAGCACAAAGCACAGGACAAAAGAAATCAATATCTCAACCATCTCTTGATATATCGAAGAGATCTATTGAGAAAGAAAATTTTAGTGTGACATCCAAGCAAATAATTGGAGATCCACTAAATGAAAAAACCTAGTGTGACATCTAGAACAAATATCTAGAGATCCACAGGGTCAAATAGCTTACAACAAACGCGATTCGCTCTAGACGCGTATCAAATTTGTTTGGGGGCATTTGTTAACCTCTGTATAGAAGAAAAAAAAAATCCTGCATACATACATCTTACCCGTCGGATCCTCAAATTCTGCCGAGATTTGCGCCGATTCGGCGCCGTCCGCGATCGCTTTCCAGGTATCACGCGACACCGCAGTGCCTCGATCGCATCTCTTCAGCGTCGTTAAATAGAAGCCGAACACCTCCCGACCTCCTGCTCTCCCCGACTCCACACGCCAAATCCCTGCAGGCTGCCGAGCTCTTCTCCTCTCGTTCTTCCTCCACGACCTCCCCTTTATTCCCTCAAGCCGAGCCCTCTCAGCTCTTCCGATCCAGACGAGAGAGAGAGAGAGAGAGAGAGAGAGAGAGAGAGAGAGAGAGAGCTGCCTGAAATCTCGCCGAAAAGCACTGTACATGCAGCGCCGTTTACGTCGATTCCCGAAAATCCTTCGCAGGCCTCGATCCTTGCCTTCTTCGCGTCTATAAAACGAAGAGGGAGAGACTTCCTTCGGCTGCTGCTTCTTACACGCGATCGAGCTCCCGACACCTCCTTACTTCTCTTGCCCGAAGCCACTCGCTCTTCAACCTCCTCAGGCCGCCGACCTCCACCAAAGCCGTGCCCTCTTCTTCCTACGCCGAGAGAGAGAGAGAGAGAGAGAGAGAGAGAGATCTACCTTCCTCCATTTCGCACTCAACGCCAGCAGCCGATCTCCTCTCCTTCCCGCGACCGAACCCAGTCACCCGATCTCCTCTCTTACCTGTGACCGACGCCTTGCCCTAGCCTCCATTCCACGACTCCCTTCTTGTAGGGATCGGAGGTTACAACATTTTGATCGGGAAAGGCGACAAGAGCTGCTCTCTGTGAAGGTAACTCTCTCCCTCACGCGCGCTTATTCGGCCAGATCTGGTGAACCCGATGGGATTCAGCTCAAATCCTGCTCAAATCATTTCATAGATAGGTTTAGATATAATTAAGTATAATTATTTATAATTAATTATTATAAATAATGATTAATTATTAATAATTATATTTAATCAAATTATTTATTAACTATTATTAACCATGCCTAATTGTTATTGATTATATTTAATAATTATTTAATTATAATTATGATTAATTAGTTAATTACTCAAGCTGGAGACCAGCTTGCAATTACTCACTCAAAGGTAGAGCTGCATTGGTTATGGATAGGATATCAACCACCCGAGAATTCCGACAATGAAGGCCGGTTGTGGAAACTAGTATTCCTCAACATTCTGGCAATGAAGGCCGATGATAGGAATATGTATTTTTTCATAATTCTGGCAATAAAAGCTGGTAGAAGGACTAATATTTCTCCAAATTTTGGCAATGAAGGCCACAACCACAAAACAGAGGGCACGAGCGGTTTGGACTTACTTGACTCTCGTTCGATGTCCTACGGCAATGAAGGCCGCTTGCACAAAATAGAGCTTGCACAAAATAGAGGGCACAAGCTGTTTGGACCGCACGACTCCAACAACAATGAAGGCCGCTTTCTCCTCTCTGCTTTCTTTGATTCGTATATCACAAGCGATTCCGACAATGAAGGCCGGTAAAAGAATCAATATTCTTCAAAAGTTCGATAGTTTTTGATAGTAATGAAGACTATCTATTGGATTTTGGACAGCAATGAAGGCTTCCAAAATAAGATCCCTTTGATCTTAAGTTACGGCAATAAAGGCCGATTTTATATCAGTAATGAAGGCTGGTTTTTGTTTTCACTTTTTAAGGCTTTCTCGGTTTATTAAACCGAACCGGCCCAGCCTTGATTTTAAGGCTCAGATCGGGGCAAGCTAGGCACGGGCAAGATTCCGTCCCTTTAGTCGCAAGAGCAGGTCCATGTGTGCGAGCCTCTAGACGAAGCTTCCGATTTCGATTGATTTCTCCAGACGAGGTTTCCAGACTTGCGAATCTTGCATGCGAGCCTTCTGAACGGCAGAAGGTGGTGTCTATCTCCCAAGTCACACGCAGGCGTGTCGATCACGAGCTATGTCCCGCGAGTCGTAGTGGCTTCCTCCCGCGAGTCGGATAGTTGGCTTTGTCCCGCGAGTCACAGGTGTCGATCGGGCTTCCGATCAGCTTCGTCTTCCGCACGGACGGTTCCGAACGGGTACGACACTTCTGCTCCTTCATTTCCTTCGTCTCCTTCGTGGATGTTCGTCGAGGCTCCTTCGACGATATTTCTGACGGAGTCAAGGCTTCCATCTGCGGCAGCAACTGGCGGAATCGGCACTTTCCGTCTGGCAGAATCGGCGGCCTCTTACAGCTTCAGAAGGTTGGATCGTTCGGCAATGAAGGCCTCCCGATCGGCTCTGATACCATGTTAGAATTCATAGAATTTGAGAAGGGTAAAAATACCTTCTACTTATTATACAAAATTATTCATATTTATAGATCTATACAAGATGTCTTAATAAAGAAATAAATAACTTCTAATTGATACATAATTGTTTCAATATAATCCTTCCTAATTCAGCTACCCAAATATAGAAGGATATTGGCCTGATCCAAGTGAGCCTCCCACGGATTCTCATCCTGACTGTGGGATCAAATGCTAAGGGATGACTGAGATTTTGACACGTATAATTATGATTCTTATAATAGCGGGATGTGTTCTCTATTGCTTTAATTGCCTAATCAGATTTGGGATATTCCTACAAGTTCTTTCAATTCAGTTCTTAGAATTCATGGTGTTGGAACCCACAAGTTTATGCGAAAGAAGAAAATGAGGTTGCCAAGAATGCATGCCAAAGAAGGAAACCATGATCCCATGGATTTATTCCAAGAAAGGAAATTAAAATCCCATGTATCATTCCAAGGAAATCCAAAACCTATTTGGGCATGGAAATCATGTTAGGAATTTCAACACCCTTCATCGACACTTACACCAAATGAGCCTAAGAAGTCTCGTTGTTGATTCCTGCTCTCAACCTTCATCATCATCATCATCATTAATACTTAATTGACGATTCCTACTCTTGCCTTTCATTGCTGCCACTTGATGACTCCTGCGACTTCAGCATGAAGTCGACCCACAACATTATAGAAATGGCTCTTCATCATCGCGTTCACTGATCCTTCTACGATCGCACCCTTCGTCCTCATCATTTCTTGATTGCATCTCTACTACTATAGTTATAGTCTCTATTATTCTAAAGAGACCTTTTTTCCAATCATCTTTCTTTAACGAGACATGTTTCTTTTCAATGGTTAGATTAATAAATAGGTGTTTTATAATCTTTAGTAGTGGCTGGCCTATTTAAACAACTTTGTTGTTTCATTAGATAGAGTTCTATTTTACAATAAGTTATTTTCAGATTATCCTCAATTAGGGAAGGGGTTCCCTATTTTGGGTGGATTCGTGGATTTCCTTTCCTTGGTATTGGAGAGTTGGGAAGGGGGAAGGAGATGGTAGCGAAGTTTGCAGCTTCATCGCAATCGATTGTTAGATCTCTCACTCCTTTTCCATGGACTTTTCTAGGCTTGACTACTGATTTCCAGTGGTTGAAAAAGGTGGTCGGTGGTTGGTATTGTTGTTCAAGGTGGAAGTAGTATGGTGTGGGTACAAGCGTGCGTATGTCTCTGGTGGTATTAAGGTTCTATTATGATCGTGCAAGCCAACTGGTGTCAAATACCTTTCTTTCGTCTTCTTGTCATGCTGGCAACCCCCAAGGGAAGAAATAGTTACTAAGTCGAGGGATCTGGTGCTTGTGATTGTCTGAGATGAAAACTATGTAAAGGACATCTAAGATAGAGAAAACAATGCAAATGATATCAGCCATAAAGAAAATTGCATACGTTAGGAACATAAGTTGGGGTAAACAAAACTCTCAGGCTGAGACTCATTTGATAGAGCTAACCAACCATATTTAAGTACAAGGAAAACTCAACAATGAAGAAATTGAAAAACTCCGAGACTTTATATAATTTCTTAAGAGACCTTACAGTGCTTGGTCATTTGTAACCTAAGGTAAGTCTCTACTTGCTCTTAGATTACATATCTCATGTAAGTGGTTGGTCAAAGCTTGGTTGCAAAAAAAAGAAAAGAGAGGGTGTGATTAACATCAAATGACCCGTTCCTTATGCCTTGATAGGGCACAAAGCCTTTTGTCAGCTAAGTTGGGTTCAAATATGTCTCCTTAGGTAAATATCCATCCAAAGTCTACAAGGTACCCTAGGACAAAGCAACCAATAGCTATCGATAAGGATCCTTCAGTCAGGTTCGGTCGACTACCTCCTCTAAGTAGACTAGGGACCATGATAACCCGGGTCGACAAAACCATGGGATATTTATTGGGTTCATCATCATTCCCCCCACCATCCGCTTTAAGTGCGTGGTGATAAAATTTCAATTTCCAGATATCAAATTTTGCTGCTACTATATGTCAGATAT